ATATATATACTAAACTAGTATGCCAACCAACCTTCAGGGACTTACTATGTACCGTATATACTCGAGTATAAGTCGACCCAAATATAAGCCGAGGCACCTAATTTTACCACAAAAAACTGGGAAAACTTATTGATGCGAGTATAAGCCGAGTTTTTCAGCACATTTTTTGTGCTGAAAAAAAACCCCTCGGCTTATACTCAAGTGAGATTCCCCCTGAAAAAAAAAAATGGTGTTGAGCTGCGGAGCTGGGCAGCCACTTCCCTGTTTCCCTGTTTCCTTTGCAACTTGTAAGCATGGGGGTAATCGGAAGCAGAAAAGTTCTTGCATGAGGATATATTTTTTTTTCTTTATTTAACTGTTTCTAGCGGGGGGGGGGAAGACCCACCATCATGTGAGAATGCTCAGACACGAAATCTATCCGTCTGAAAATAAGTGTGTATGGGGGGGATTTTAACAGAGGGAAGACATAGGGAGAAGGCAAAAGCGACAGAAGATCCTTCAGGGGAAACTGAGGGGGAGACTCACCCTTGGTCCAGATGATCCCCCTTCCCCACCCCTAAGGAAGCAGAGGCAGCCAGCAAGGGCAGGCAAGCCCCGCTTCGCGGACTCTGTCCGCTCGCCGCCACCACCTCCTCCTCCTCCTCTCGAGCGGACTGAAAGCAGCTGGGGCTGAGGAAACGAAGCCACCTCGGCTCGCGTTGTTTTCTGAGATCGCGAGCCTAGAGCCCAGAAAACAACGCGAGCCGCCACCACCAGCACCTCCTCCTCCTCCTCCTCCCGAGCGGACTGAAAGCAGCTGGGGCTGGGAAACGAAGCCACCTCGGCTCACGTTGTTTTCTGAGCCTAGAGCCAGGGCGCTTTCATTGCACGGCGGAGCTTCTTGTTTCACGAAACACCGGGCGTCGTTGCTGCCCCGAGGGGAGGGCGATTCTGGGCTGCGCGATTGGGGGACTTCGTGGCTTTGGGTGGGTGGGTGGGTGGGAGCGAGGACAGACGGAGTCCGCGAAGCGGGGCTTGCCTGCCCTTGCTGGCTGCCTCTGCTTCCTTAGGGGCAGGGAAGGGGGCTCATCTGGACCAAGGGTGAGTCTCCCCCTCAGTTTCCCCTGAAGGATCTTCCGTCGCTTTTGCCTTCTCCCTACATCTTCCCTCTGTTAAAATCCCCCCCCACACACACACACACACTTATTTTCAGGCGGATAGGTTTTGTGTCTGAGCATTCTCACATGACAGTGGGTCTTTTCCCCCCCCTAAAAACAGTTAAATAAAGAAAAAAACAATATATCCTCATGCAAGAACTTTTCTGCTTCCGATTACCCCCATGCTTACAAGTTGCAAAGGAAATACGGAAGCAGGGAAGCGGCTGCCCAGCTCCGGAGCTCCACACCATTTTTTTTTCAGAGGGAATCTCACTCGAGTATAAGCCGAGGGGGTTTTTTTCAGCACAAAAAATGTGCTGAAAAACTCGGCTTATACTCAAGTATATATGATATGTATAATATATTATGCATATATTACACATATATAATAAATAGATAAGTCCCTCTGGGACTTCCTAAATTTTATTAAATAAATAAATTCACTTTTAAATAACAATGGAAAGCATCTTCCCCCTAGAATTCAGTCTCCAATATACTTTCCTAATACTTTTGTTTTGTATTTCTGACCACATGATTCTAGTCATCAATTCCACATATAAAAAAAATCTACAACTCATTTTCTTTCCAATGGACATGTTTATTCATTGTCACATCATACAAGGTATGGTTTGTCTTCATCACTCCTTGATGAACAAAGCTAACAGAAACCTGGTGATCTGCACTTCCAAACAGTAAGACAAAAACAAATTGCAGTTCCAAATTATGGTTTATCACCTGAAAACAAAGCATGAATTATTCACTACCCCTATTCAGATATCATCCTAGGACAATGGCCCCCAACCTTTTGGGCAGTGGTGGGATTCAAAAATTTTTACTACCGGTTCTGTGGGCATGGTTTGGTGGGCGTGGTGTGGTGTGGTGTGGCTTGGTGGGCCTGGCTTGGCTTGGTGGGCATGGCAGGGGAAGGATACTGTAAAATCTCCATTCCTTCCCCATCCCGCTTACCTGCTTTCCAGCTCCATTCTCCTGTGCAGGGCAACAAAAGAAGACCCAGCCAATCAGCTGAGGCTTTGAGACAGAGAATAGATGGGGGGTGGGGCAAGTCAGAGATGGTATTTGCTGGTTCTCCAAACTCCTCAACATTTCCGCTACTGGTTCTCCAGAACTGGTCAGAACCTGCTGAATACCACCTCTGCTTTTGGGTACCAGGAACTGGTTCTGTGAAGAGAGGTTTTTCTGCAGACCAGAGGAAGTGTGGTTTGCATGCTGCCTGCATTATGTGGGTAGGGCTTTGCTTGTTTGCACAGCATGGTTTCTAGCATGCCATAACCATATGCCGTTCCACGGACCTGGGTTTGGGAACCCCTGTCCTAGGATAGAGCTGAGATGGTTGAATTTTCCCACCCCAATTTTTGCCAGTCCCCGCTTTTGCCTTTTTTTTTAACTAAAAAGATGGAAAGGATGAAGAAAAATGAAATATGTTCTTTCAGAATAATGAATGCAGTAAGATAAGATAATCCTATATTCCTATTCTTTATTTTGCCTCCCCCCCCATATCTTGTATTAGGATATGATTATAGAAAGCACATTAAGGGAATAACAAAGTTACTACTAAAACTCTTGTGTCTGTAACTTTTAACTGAGTAAAACAATGCACCATAAGGCAACAATTTTTCAACCGTGGTGCCTCAAATGGCGTAACTCAGTGGCCCCCAACCTTTTTTGTACCATGGACCGGTACAAAATGTACAAAATGATCCACGGACCGGTACCAGCATCAGCACGCATGACCAAGGCAAGGCGAGCCGAGTGACCGGCCAGCCAGCCTTCCCCCGCTTCTTCCCGCCACCTTCAACTCCTCCTTTGTACCTTCTCGTGGTCGATGGGCTTTTTGGGCTCTTTCTTAATCTTCTCCTGAGTAACGCGAGACTCCACCGTCATCGGGACAGCTCTTCATTCAAAGCCACCACCCCCCGACGAAACTAAGGCACGAGGATTCCTTCAACACCCAAACGCCGCTTTCCAACCGACGACCAACAAGCTCTCCCAGAAGCACTTTATCAAGTGCCGTCGAAACAAGATGGCGGCGCCCAAGCAAAATAGGCAGCCCGGTACAAAATGATCCACAACCGGTACCGGTTCAGGGCCCGGTGGTTGGGGACCACTGGCTTAACTTACACAATACATCCAAAATGATGCCCTTGGGACTGACATTTGACAAATTTGTGATTCCTTCAGTGCCTGGAAGCTCAGTAGACTGGTCCCACCCTAGTCCTCTGAAAGTCAGACAGACCAGCCCCTCTTTTGGCTCTTGCTGATCAGGTAGAAGAATAACCAAGGGCAAAAAAACAGAGAGGATGGGAACAACTGCCAACTTTCTGCTGACTTGATTAGGGCTGATTGCCCTCCAGCAGCCAGTGGTGGAACTAGTCTACTCAGCCTCCAGGGGGTTAGGGTGGGACCACTGGCTGTTGGAGGAGATCAGTCATAATCGTCAGCAGAAAATAGAAATTGCTCTACTTCTACTACTTTTTTGCCCTTGGTTATTCTGCTTCTTTGTTTAGGTAAGGAAATATCTCTGAAATGATAACCCAACATTTTACAGGCTGTCTAGTTTATCCTTGCCCATTCTCTCCTTGCAAATCATCTTTACTTCTATAAGTTTCATACACTTATTCGACAGAAACAAATTCTTCCCCAGTTATTTCTCCCCCCCTTTTTATTTTATTTATTCATTCCTTTGAGCAGGCCACATACTATTCACAACTTTTCTATTAGCATTTCCACCTTTTAAAAAACGGTTCTGTCCATTTTCCTATCTGTAGTAAACATTCTACTAAATTCTTGCCCAAACATCTATTTTATTTATTTGCAATTTATTTATAAGTTCAAATCATTCGTTCCTTTTTCTTACCAACACAACTACTTTGATCTTTAATTTATTAATTTCCAAATTCATAGCC